ATAAGGACTGCTTCCGAGTCATCGCCAGTTTTTCTCTATGTATGATTAATCTAACACAGATAAATGGATAATTTATTTATAGAATAGCGATTCGCATAAATATTTCCACACGAATGCATTTTCAACTGAAAACGATGTCAATCGACTATCCATTCTATAGTCTATTTCTGATAAAATTTTCAGCAGGAACGACTGAATTTGCTGACTATTTTCTCTATATTTCGAGCAAAAGAAAAAGACATCATGGGTTTTTGCTTGATTTTGAAAAAGTGAATTCAGAAGTGGCTTTTGTTAAAAAGACTACTTGACGCTCGTTTAGACACCATCGTCTCGCATCTTTCACCGGTCTTTTATAGGTTTTTATTGGAAAAGATATGATTTGAGTCAAAACTAATAGCATATTTGGAATCAGCATAAAAAGTTAAGTGGACTTATATGTATATATTTCAAAGTTTTTCAGAGAACTTTTTTTTTCTCGAAAAATTCAGTCGAGGTTCTCCTCAAAGATTAGTCAACAAAATAAATTTAAGAAAAATACAATCTTTATTGTTAAGTTGGGTGTGGGTGTGGGGTGTGGATGAATGTGAGTATGGATGTGGGTGTGAGTGTCAATAAACAGAGATCCCCACCTACACCCTACACCCTGCACACCCACACCCCCACCCACACCCGCACCCTAAGTATGAGCACTACCGTTTTTGTGAATGATTTCAGTATCACTCAAAAATAAATTTTATTAGAGAAACGAAAATTAGTAATCCATATATAGAAAAATAAGCCATAATTTGGGGAACAAGAATATATAATTAGAATGAAATTTTGTCCACGTAATGTTGAAAAAATGAAAATCCCAAAATTTACTATTTTTCCAATTTTGTCATTTTTTGTTGAATTTTTCGATTTTTCAGCAAATCTTGTGGCTCATATCTTTCTAAAGGAACATTCATCTAAGATGATTTCTTTTTACCATAACCATAATTCATCGAGTTGTAGAAGATAAAGGCATATTTAGCCAATTTCAAGGCACTTTTTTGTGAGAGAAACCCCATAAAATAGGCCAAATAACTATGTATAGTAGGTTTGTTTTTTTTGCTTCCTTTCTGATATAAAAAAAATAGAACTGACGATTGTTATTTTTCATCACGCGTTGGCGACGAAAAATGCAACTCATGTATTAAAAAAAAAAGAAAAGGAAGAAAAAGAACAAAAAGAACAAAAAAAACCCAAATCATATATTTTATTTCTAGATTTTCTTTGAGAACTGCAATATTACAAAAACTAAGTGTATTGATGGTCTGAAATTTTCATTATCAATTTTAAAAGAAATAGTGACACAAGTTTCAATATATTGAATGTCATTTTTTAATTTCAAATTTTTCACTCGACAAATCAAAATGAGTACTAATGATGATACAATGGTGAGAAATAATCAATCGTCTGAGCAATCTGTAAATGATATTTCTAATGAGGACACTTTAATGGTGACACAACATCGATGGAAGCTTTTAGATTGTTTAGATTGGAATAAAGGAATACCAAAAGCTGCTGCTTTAGCAAGAATTAAACGGTAAACATATATTTTTAGATTAAATATTTAGCATATAATTTTCTTTGATTAGTGATATTTTTAATTTGCTCAAAGATCCACCACCGGGAATATTTATTGCCCCTGAACCTGACGATATTACAAAGGTATAAAATATAAATATTAATTCACAAGTGTATAACTTGTTTTATGGAACTTAGATATGTTTTCGAATAAAATAGGATGTATAAATTGAAGTTTTTTTGTTTCTCTCCAATATCGATCTAAACAACCGGTATTACTTTTTAATTCAATGCTTGTAGTGATATAGGCAATAATTTAAGAAAAAACAATGAGTGAACAGCAATATCAAAAGTAAAAAAATTCATTTCGAAATGTAAATATAAAAGCGACAGCCTTTGCTTACAATCAATCGTCGTTAAAACAGAACTATTGTCTTAGAGAGCCTTTGCACAGTTAATTTTATATTAGAACAATGAGTCTAAAGAAGATATATAAGTTTCACATTTTAGTCTTATAGGACTTGCACTAAAAAGCTTTCTTTGTCGTTCTAGATTCACGCTCTTGTTGTTGGCCCATTGGATACACCATATCAAGGTGGATTCTTTTATTTTATATTACGTTGTCCACCTGATTAGTAAGTGCTGAACAAGTTCACAATTGACCACAAAAATATCATTCGGTTATAATATGATAGAATATTGTAGAAATAGATATCTTTGAATGTCATTTCTAGAAGCTAGGCTGATAAATTCAAATTTTAGACAACTAGAAGTTGCTTGTACAAAGATCGGGATTTGTCGGGAGATCATGATTAAAAAAAACAAGAGAATTAAGAAGTTATTTTGTTTCGTAGAAAACTGAAATTTACGTTTTTAAAGTCAATAGATATTTTCTTCTGTTCAGTTGATAATGAACAGATTTTTCTCTGGATTTCATATATAAAAACCAGAAAGATAATTACATTCACTCTGTATAACTAGTCGTTCCATGCTCATTCATAAAATCGACAAATAAAATGCCAAATGGACACATATTGAATACCTATGAACAATAGGTTATCAGCTATCCCAATCGTGGCACTTTTTGAAATATGTCTCTCTTTTTTCTGATGGTTGAATTAGTTTCAATTGATTTGAATTATTTATAAGAAAATTGTAAAACTTGACATTTATCATGAGTATTTATTTTAATTTTTGATTCTACATTTGAAAAATTATCCTTCCTATTATTTCGATTATCATCAAAACGAATCCATGCAATTGAGAATAGATTAACAAATAACATTTGAATTTGGTTTGAACAATGTATGATGAGACAATTTTTGTATTATCTCAATGATTCAAAATATTAGTAAAATTCAAGATGAAAAAAAAACATTGAGCAAAAAAAGAGAAAATATTAAAAAAAACACAGCTCCTGGTTTTTAGAAAATATTTTAATCACGAAAAAAGTCTAAATACTAGAAGTATCATGACTAAATCATCGAATAGTGATTTTCATATAGGCAACGTCTGATCAGCAGTAATACATTCATTAAATGCCCATTTTACAAAAAGCCAAAGGAATGTATCATTCATAATATTCATATTCACGCCTATCAGCAAACGAGATAATGCCATAGATAAACGAATCAATGTCTAAAATATTGCAGGAAACATGCTAGTAGACAAGCAAACTGATTTTCAATGCTATGTTCATCGTAGAACCAATTGACTTTTGCTCGCAGTTTTTACGATAGTTTTAAAATCATCATTTCTTAGTTTTTCGATACAGATAAGAACGGAAAAATCTTCAAATATAAAAATTTATAAAACCATTATATTACAACGAAAAGATTATTCGAATCAAAATTGAATAGATTATCTTTAAATCTTCTATGAATTCTAGGCCAATTATCCGATATGCTTTTCACTAGATCAGAATCAAACCAGATGTATGAGAGCGATGAATGAAAATCCTAGACAAAAAAGAAAACCCGATTTAAAAAAAACAAACTGCTGCCATACATCACTATTCATCAATGATTCGGCATTTGGAAGATATATATATTAGTGTTTTGGGGGATCTAGACCAGTCTATTTCTATACTGAAGATGCATTAACCATGAGAGAAAATCCCGATAATTAATGATGTATTAACTGAACAGCATAGATCTTTATTTGTATTTTAGTCCGATTCGACCTCCTCGTTGTCTTTTAATGACAACCGGAAACAATACAGTTGATTTTCATCCAAGTCTTGATCGAAATGGAAAAATATTTTTATCGATTATTAAGTAGATCTCCGTATTTCTAACCTATTTAGTAGTTTGCATTAATTTATAAATTTTAGTACTTGGAGTGAACCATCATGGTGTCCAGCTCAATCTATATCATCTCTACTTGTATCCATTCAATCGTTACTATCACAAAATCCATATCATGATGAGCCTGGTTTTGAACAAGTATAGAAAACAACGAAAATAAATTTTACTTTTTCTTTGCAAATAATTTATTAAATAGGAACGTCGATTAGGTGATTCAAAGAGGTATAATGAAATAATATTACACGAAACATTACGTGTTGCTGTATGTGAAATGCTGGAAAATCCCGATTCATGTCCAGGACAGTTTCGGTAAATTTAAATTAATAAGAATTTATCTAAAAAGAAGATAATCATTTTTTATTTTAGCAAAGTTATGATAAAACAATTTTTTAAATTTTATGATTATTATATTTTTGTATGTACAGAAAACATGAATAATGACGATCAATTAATGAGGGTTTGTACAAAAGCAAAGAAAAAAAGGAATATTTATTTGATTTTCGTAATTGAATAAAGGATCCATTTGGTGGATGGCGTGGATCATTTCAATATTCATCAATATTAACGCGTTTAGAGCAATTGAAAAGTGAATTAGAAATTACCGAACTACCAAGAAAAGAACAACAGCCAACCTATTCAAATATTGAAAATGTGATAGAGTCCAGAGATGGACGAGTCGCGGTTTCACACCGTCCCGCTCCGCCGGCGGGGTGGTGGAGAAACTTGACAGGACGGGGCGGTGACGGTGCGTTGCAAGATCTTGCGGTTTCCCCGCCCCTTGACAATGTTGAGTTTTTTTTAACATTTTTCTTAAGTGTTTGTTTGTTTTTTTTTATTTCGAAATTTTATCTTTATATACAGGTGGCTTATAAATAATAACATAATGACAAGAAATTTAAATATTTCTACTTCTGGTCATTCAAAAGGACTCATTTTTTCGTTGGTAGTAGTACTCGACTCAATTTTTTTCCATTCGGATAATGTAAATAAATCCAATTGTGAAGTATTTCAATTGACGTCAACAAAGTAACTTTACTAGTTGTAAAGTAAAAAAAATACATATGAAATATTGTGTAGATGACTTTTAGTTGTCATTTAACAAAATGACTTGAAAAAATTCAAATAAATCCGCTGAATGATACTATATGAATGACATTGAGAGAAATTTCTCAACCAGTCAATTTGAAAGTTAGCAATTACAATGTTTCGAAGTTTCAGGCGTGGAACACTGATTTTTGCCGAAAACTTGCCGACTGGATAACTAAAGGCTTTCAGATACGTGCTTTAGTTATCAAGCACTAGTTCCAGTATTCAAAGTAGCTAGTCCAGAAAGTTTTCTATATGTACATCAATGTTGTATCATTTAGAAGATTTGTTTGAATTTTTTCAAGTCATTCTGTCAAATGACAACTAAAAGTCATCTACAAAATATTTCATATGTGATTTTTTTACTTGACAACTAGTAAAGTTGCTTTGTTGATGTCAACTGAAATACTTAACAGTTTGATTTACTTACATTATGCGAATGAAAAAGAAACTGAGAAAAGTTCTATTACCAACCAAAAAAGGAGCCCATTTGCATGAACAGAAGTAGAGCCATTTAAATTTCTTATTGTCATGTCATTATATGTGAGCCACCCTGTATTTAAATTATGCCTTTTCATCTCAGGAAATAGAATAGTAATTATGAAAACTTACTAAAAATTTCATGAATAAACAGCAGTGTCCAAGGACTGAGAAATAGGAATTCCTAATTTGCAGAGGAATTGTCAGTGTAGCTATGATAATTCCTTGGGGAAATAGGGATTGACCATTATTTCCATCACAGTTCCCTCATTCATGAAAGTCAAGATAATGCT